ACAGGAGGTGCCTAGAGGCCAGAATTGAGTTCCCTGAAGAGTTCAACTCATTACATTCAATATCCACTGAGAAAAGAACAATTTTAGATTTTTTACAAAATGCAAAAAAACTGATAAGTTTTCCATAGCCGGCATCATCAAAAAAGTCAGTTTTTGACCCAAAAATATCACTTCATCAAATTTGCTCAAAAGTTCACACGAGGTGCCTAGAGGCCAGAATTGAATACCCGAAGAGTTCAACTCATTACATTCAGTATCCATTGAGAAAAGAACAATTTAAGATTTCTTACCAAATGCCCCAAAACTTATACGTTTTTCCATAGCCGGCATCATCGAAAAAGTCAGTTTGACCCGAAAATCCAACTTCATCAAATTTGCTCAAAAGTTCACACGAGGTGCCTAAAGGCCAGAATTGAATTCCCTGAAGAGTTTCAACTCATTACATTCAGTATCCAGTGAGAAAAGAACAAATTTAGATTTCTCACAAAATGCCCAAAACTTCAACGTTTTCCATAGCCGGCATCATCAAAAAGTCAGTTTTTGACACAAAAATACAAGTGCATCAAATTTGCTCAAAAGTTCACACAAGTGCCTAGAGGACAGAATGGAATCCCTGAAGAGTTCAACTCATTACATTCAGTATCCTGTGAGAAGAACAATTTTAGATTTTTTACAAAATGCCAAAAAAACTTCAACGTTTTCCATAGCCGGCATCATCGAAAAAGTCAGTTTTTGACCCAAAAATCCAACTTCATCAAATTTGCTCAAAAGTTCACACGAGGTGCCTAGAGGCCAGAATTGAATACCCTGAAGAGTTCAACTCATTACATTCAGTATCCAGTGAGAAAAGAAAACAATTTTAGTTTTTTTACAAAATGCCCAAATCTTCAACGTTTTCCATAGCCGGCATCATCGAAAAAGTCAGTTTTTGACCCAAAAATATAACTTCATCAAATTTGCTCAAAAGTTCACAGGAGGTGCATAGAGGCCAGAATTGAGTTCCCTGAAGAGTTCAACTCATTACATTCAATATCCAGTGAGAAAAGAACAATTTTAGATTTTTTACAAAATGCAAAAAAAATGATACGTTTTCCATAGCCGGCATCATCAAAAAAGTCAGTTTTGACCCAAAAATATCACTTCATCAAATTTGCTCAAAAGTTCACACGAGGTGCCTAGAGGCCAGAATTGAATACCCTGAAGAGTTCAACTCATTACATTCAGTATCCATTGAGAAAAGAACAATTTAAGATTTTTTACCAAATGCCCCAAAAATATACGTTTTCCATAGCCGGCATCATCGAAAAAGTCAGTTTTTGACCCGAAAATCCAACTTCATCAATTTGCTCAAAAGTTCACACGAGGTGCCTAAAGGCCAGAATTGAATTCCCTGAAGAGTTCAACTCATTACATTCAGTATCCAGTGAGAAAAGAACAAATTTAGATTTGTCACAAAATGCCCCAAAACTTCAATGTTTTCCATAGCCGGCATCATCAAAAAGACAGTTTTTGACACAAAAATACAAGTGCATCAATTTGCTCAAAAGTTCACACAAGGTGCCTAGAGGACAGAATTGAATTCCCTGAAGAGTTCAACTCATTACATTCAGTATCCTGTGAGAAAAGAACAATTTTAGATTTTTTACAAAATGCCCAAAACTTCAACGTATTCCATAGCCGGCATCATCAAAAAAGTCAGTTTTTGACACAAAAATATAACTTCATCAAATTTGCTCAAAAGTTAACACGAGGTGCCTAGAGGCCAGAATGGAATTCCCTGAAGAGTTCAACTCATTACATTCAATATCCAGTGAGAAAGAACAATTTTAGATTTTTTACAAAATGCCAAAAAACTTCAACGTTTTCCATAGCCGGCATCATCAAAAAAGTCAGTTTTTGACCCCAAAAATATAACTTCACCAAATTTGCTCAAAAGTTCACACGAGGTGCCCAGAGGCCAGAATTGAATTCCCTGAAGAGTTCAACTCATTACATTCAGTATCCAGTGAGAAAAGAACAATTTTAGTTTTTTTACAAAATGCCAAAAGACTCCAACGTTTTCCATAGCCGGCATCATCAAAAAAGTCAGTTTTTGACCCAAAAATCCATCTTCATCAAATTTGCTCAAAAGTTCACATGAGCAACCTAGAGGCCAGAATTGAATGAATTCCTGAAGAGTTCAACTCATTACATTCAGTATCCAGTGAGAAAAGAACAATTTAGATTTGTTACAAAATGCACCAAAACTTCCAACGTTTTCCATAGCCGGCATCATCAAAAAAGTCAGTTTTTGACCCAAAAATCCATCTTCACAAAATTTGCTCAAAAGTTCACAAGAGGTGCTTCGAGGCAAGAATTGAATTCCCTGAAGAGTTCAACTCATTACATTCAGTATTTAGTGAGAAAAGAACAATTTGAGATTTTTTACAAAATGCCCCAAAACTTCAACGTTTTCCATAGCCGGCATCATCGAAAAAGTCAGTTTTTTGACCCAAAAATATAACTTCATCAAAGTTGCTCATAAGTTCACACGAGCAGCCTAGAGGCCAGAATTGAATTCCCTGAAGAGTTCAACTCATTACATTCAGTATCCAGTGAGAAAAGAACAATTTTAGATTTTTTACAAAATGCCCCAAAACTTTCAACGTTTTCCATAGCCGGCATCATCGAAAAAGTCAGTTTTTGACACAAAAATCCAACTTCATCAAATTTGCTAAAAAGTTTCACATGAGCTACCTAGAGGCCCCCATTGAATTCCCTGAAGAGTTCAACTCATTACATTCAGTAGGCCTATCCAGTGGAAAAGAACAATTTTAGATTTTTTACAAAATGCCCCAAACTTCAACGTTTTCCATAGCCAGCATCATCAAAAAAGTCAGTTTTTTTGACCCAAAAATCCAACTTCATCAAATTTGCTAAAAAGTTCACATGAGCTACCTAGAGGCCAGAATTGAATTCCCTGAAGAGTTCAACTCATTACATTCAGTATCCAGTGAGAAAGAACATTTTAGATTTGTTACAGAATGCCCCAAAACTTCCAACGTTTTCCATAGCCGGCATCATCAAAAAGTCAGTTTTTTGACCCAAAAATCCATCTTCACCAAATTTGCTCAGAAGTTCACACGAGGGGCCTAGAGGCCAGAATTGAATTCCCTGAAGAGTTCAACTCATTACATTCAGTATCCAGTGAGAAAAGAACAATTTAGATTTGTTACACAGGGCTTGAATTGAACGACGGCCACGACGGCCAGTGCCGTCGTTGCCTTCTTACTGGCCGAGGTGCCCCACAAAAAATCCCTGTCTTCACGGCCAGTTTTTGCCTTGCCCCATGATTACCTTGGCCGTCGTGCCCCTTTTGCAAAAACATCTATCAGCCTATTAAAACCACTACAATCCTTTGATTCCAGTTGTTTTTCCACACATTGACAATGTATTTTCGATGCCATGCCAGCCCGATCAGTTGTCTTAATATCTCGCCGAATCATCACACGCGCGCAGTACGGCCGTGGCCGGCCGGCCAAACGCCGGCAATTCCCCACTGTATGTACATGATGTACACACACGTACATGTGGGCATGTTTCAAAAGTCCCAAATCATGTCGGACGGAATTTGATAGAACAAAATGTAACAATTTTTGTTTTAGAATACATTAAAATGTTATTCTGATTTCAAACAACACCAAAGATTTTAAGTAATGACACATAACATTATTTCTAAATTCCACACTTTTGTTTGTCTGTTTATTACGAAAAATGTGTACATGTCGGACGGAATCGATAGAAATGAGCCTCCTCAGAATTTCAGAAACAAATCAGATTTTATCAAAACTTGAGGATAATTTTTTTTCTATGTTTTATGTCAAGAAGAGTAACAATCACTACTTATGCTGACGTATATATTTTCTCTACAACACTATGTCATTCAGTTAAGCTCAGCTGAAGCCACACCATGTCGGACGGAACAAATCATGTCGGACGAATCACTATGTTGACCCAAAAAAACAAAGTTTGAAGAAACTTAATTTTATGATAGTGGTCTTTAGGTAGTTGACTGTGCTTACCACCTGGGCACTTATAATGAACAAATAATCAAGCTTCTTACAATTGTGTGAGAAAGATTATTAAAAATCCGTCCGACATGCTTCATTCCGTCCGACATGATTTTCAGTACATCAGTTTACATCCTCTGTACAAACATGAATAATTGCAATCTTCAGACAGGTTTTTTAGCTAACAAATATTATCCACTTCAGGTCCATGTACAATGTCTAAATTTTCTGACAAAATGCATTCAGAATATTACTACTGGTGGTTTAAAATATATCTAATTTATACAGGAACAATTGCCAATATTTGCGCAATTTTTCGCATTGGGCACTCACAAAAGGCATGCTAAAAAAGGACCCTCGTTTATTACGAAAAGGACACTCTTTGAAAAATATTGTGGGTGGGGGGCAGATGTGGATTCGGGGGGGGGGGTGTTTGGGGGTAAAACAAAACCCAGCGCTGTAAAAAAATTGTTTTCCCCTAGAAATTAATTTTTAAAAATGTTAACCCCCCCCCCACTCCGACACCCCATTTTTTTTTTACTGGCAATAATGTTCGCCTTTGCACAAAATACGGACAGAGCCAGCTTGGTTAGGGTGCATACCGGTACATGTACCGGTATGTACATGTACACCATTTCGTGATATATTGTTAATAATTGTCGGATTGAACAGCGCCCCATTGAAAGTATGGTACAAGCCCCCCCCCCCCCCCCCAAGTGTCCAGAGAACAAAAACCCTGTCTATATTTCAAATCTTGTTGCCGATGAACCCCCCCCCCCCTCCCCCAGGGGCGAAAATTCCTGGATCCGCCCTTGGGGGGGGGGGGGGGGTTTAACCGCTAGTGGAAAAAGGCAAATAATAGCAATCATAAAATATTGGGGGGGGGGGGGGGGGGGGGCGGGGGGGCGGCTACACAGCTTCACTTTGGCACACTTTCTTTTTTGTGTGTTCTATCCTTAAATTTCACAAGTTCATTTCTCCTTGTGTGTATTTCTCATGTGTAATTGCTCCCTGATCTTGCTATTCCGCTCTCTTTCTTTGGCATGGCACTCTTCTGGATGCATTGATGCTCTGTATATGTATAGCATTTTACAGCTAACAGCATTGTTTCACTGCTCTGACACATTATAACGATAATTTCCAAATTATTAAGTTCATGTAACACAATAGACATGTTTTGTTTATTTAGATAAAAACATATATGCCAGTATAGGTGAGTTTTACACACACATACCGTACATGTACTTGCCAAATTACCTGGATACAGTTTAAATTCCCTCACCTACGGTACTTTGTAATAATGTCTACCGAACCTCACTACCCTTAACACAAATATGTAAAAGCCATCATCAGTCCAAAAGAATAAAATGTACATGATTATGATTAATGTACATTGCACAGTTTAATTCCCATGAATATAGAAGGTTGCCTTAACCCTTACTCTCTGAGGGTAGTTTACTGCATGTCAGTTGGTTATGCCAATGCCCTCCAGCTGCAGTTTATTGGAGGATACTTTGATGTAGCAGTGAAGGCTCCAATTGGCAGGAGTTGGAGGCCCTGGAGGGTGCCTGATACTGACCAGCTGGGGGCACTCACTTTGTTATCAGAGGACTCTCATTGTTCTCTGTGGCATGTATTGGAGTGCCTGTCCAGTTACCCTTGAAATGACATGGCAGATATTGGAGGGCCATGCAAAAAACATAGGAGATTTTCTTGAGGCACAATTGGCATGCGTTGGAGGGTCAAGTAGGGTAAGGGTTAATTAATTATTGGAAACAACAAGGTGTGTGACTGGTCAGTAGGCTGCCAACAAGTCAGCCTGTTCAACTTTGGCTAAATTTTGGATTTTCGCATGTCGGACGGAATCTTACTGTCCTGTGTAGGCTTTGCTTTGATGGTACTGAAATGAGCAAAGAACAATATCAACTTGGAAAAAGTTCTATATCCCCTACTTTATGTTTTTTATTAATAGGGGAATAAATGTGTGCTCCGGAGGTTTTTTATCACTCTGTTTAATACCACTTAGAGTCTGGGTGCTGATAATTACCCGAGCCGGAGGCGAGGGTAATTATCAGCACCCAGAATCTAAGTGGTATTAAACAGAGTGAATAATACCGACGGTACAGTATATTTATTCCCATTCATAAATACCTTTTCGGTAAAAAAAAATCATATAATTCGTTCAAACATCCCGATTTTGTTCAACAAATTCACTTTATGCTTTTTGAATCATCCCTCCTGCAAAATAATGGAGTGTTCAGCTGGCGAGTAAGATGAAAACAACCCTTTTATGGAGATTGACGCGCGCGTATCGTGTTCTATGCGATGTCGCGCAGAACGCACCTGGCGCGTTGCATTTTGAATTTAGAACCATAAAATTCTAACTCCCTGGTAGTGTTGCGCATGCCTACGTGAGGATTGTGAACGTTCAACCAATGAAACGATAAGAGGCACTGGATTTTTAGGAGTCCACATTTTATTGTGACACTGGAAAAGTGTTTAAGACCAGCTAGCCATGTCTTTATCATCCTTTTAATACCGGCCACGTGACGGGCTCTCGACCAATAGGAATGGCTAAACTGTCTGAGGTATTTATGAATTAACAATAATTAATATCAGTTCCCCGAGGCACAACTATATAGGAATGTAAAGTCCATTTCCGTCCGACATATACCATTCCGTCCGACATGCATGTCGGACGGAAAGCACTTTTATTCACTTTTCTCGAAGGTGACGGTGAAACATAAAACTTTTTGTTGGTGTTAATACTGAGTCTATTCATTGATACTTTGACAATATTTGCCTTTTTATTAAAACAAGTAAATTAAAAAAAAAAACATTTTAACAACCTTAGGCATGTCGGACGGAAATCTTGACAACAAAAATTATCATTTGAAATGAAATACCAAGATTTACGGCAGCAGCAATAATGATGAAATGGATAATGACTGAAGACAATCTAAGTTATTGTTTTTGTGGGAAAAGATAGAATTCAAGGCATTTGTACTTATTATGAGAAGGTTTTCTTTAAATGCAAAAATTCCGTCCGACATGAATTGATTTCACTGGCCACACTATTAAAGCAACTTTTCACTGAGATAAGTATGTAAATTTAATTTTTTTTATTCAAAATAGTAAAATTAGGTTAATCTGCTTTAAAATAAGGATTTGTAAATCTTGTTTAAGGCTTTTTAATTTTTTACCTCTATGATGACCACTTTTGAAACATGCCCATGTACATACACTGACAACTGAATCTCCAGTTCCTGTATGTGCCGATACTTCAAGTAGCGACACCCCCCCGCCGCAAAAATATGTCTGTATTCGTACACACACCATACGTACATACCAGCAGGAGTAAGTACGGCAGATCTTACGTGCAGTCAACAGACTTTCTTTTTCTCAGTGCTTGCATGCGCGGTACATACAAAACACATTGATGTTCGTGTACGAGGCAAACGAGCTCGGGCATAGTAAAAACACGCGTGCACATGGCGTTCCGAATTCCGATTGTCAAAAGCGGACATTGTAATGGCGATCGTGTAATAATTATGGGCCCGATTCCCCGAGAACAAAATCAACTTTAAGCCACATTACGAACATGCAGGTAGGTTACAGATAGAGGGAAGGGTTTCGAGTTTTTAGGGGAATTTGGAGGGAAAACGACAACGAAAAAACGCAACACGAAAATAGAGATGGCGATCGCACAGTCACCAACCATAAAACCGCTTACAAATAACGTAATTTTATCCCCAAAAAGTGTTCAAAATTACAAAACAGGTGCCATATAAGCTGAGAGAAGTCTGCTTTAGGTTAAAAGGTAATTTTTTGAATGATAAAAACACCTTTGACTCAAATTTTGATCGAAACTAAAGAGGGGCCATAACTACAATGATCGCTGATATAAATTCGCATTTTTTTTTAGCCGGCCTCTGTGCCCCTTCTGCAGATATTAGTTTGGCCTTGGTGCCCTCCCAACTGGCCTTGGTGCCCTCTATAATTTTGCTCCATTCAAGGCTAAAGTGGCCTTGCCCTAAAAATTCCCAAATTCAAGGCCTGGTTACAAAATGCCCCAAAACTTCAACGTTTTCCATAGCCGCATCATCAAAAAAGTCAGTTTTTGACCCAAAAATCCAACTTCATCAAATTTGCTCAAAAGTTCACACGAGGTGCCTAGAGGCCAGAATTGAATTCCCTGAAGAGTTCAACTCATTACATTCATATTCAGTGAGAAAAGAACAATTTTTAGTTTTTTTTTACAAAATGCCCAAAAACTTCAACGTTTTCCATAGCCGGCATCATCGAAAAAGTCAGTTTTTGACCCAAAAATCCAACTTCATCAAATTTGCTCAAAAGTTCACATGAGCTACGTAGAGGCCAGAATTGAATTCCCTGAAGAGTTCCACTCATTACATTCAGTATCCAGTGAGAAAAGAACAATTTTAGATTTGTTAAAAAATGCACCAAAACTTCCACGTTTTCCATAGCCGGCATCATCGAAAAAGTCAGTTTTTGACCCAAAAATCCAATATCATCAAATTTGCTCAAAAGTTCACACGAGGTGCTTAGAGGCCAGAATTGAATTCACTGAAGAGTTCAACTCATTACATTCAGTATTCAGTGAGAAAAGAACATTTTAGTTTTTTACAAAATGCCCCAAAACTTCAACGTTTTCCATAGCCGGCATCATAAAAAAAGTCAGTTTTTTGACCCAAAAATCCAACTTCATCAAATTTGCTCAAAAGTTCACATGAGCTACGTAGAGGCCAGAATTGAATTCCCTGAAGAGTTCAACTCATTACATTCAGTATCCAGTGAGAAAAGAACAATTTTAGATTTGTTAAAAAATGCACCAAAACTTCCAACGTTTTCCATAGCGGCATCATCGAAAAAGTCAGTTTTTTGACCCAAAATCCATATTCACCAAATTTGCTCAGAAGTTCACACGAGGGTGCCTAGAGGCCAGAATGGAATTCCCTGAAGAGTTCAACTCATTACATTCAGTATCCAGTGAGAAAAGAACAATTTTAGATTTTTTACAAAATGCCCCAAAACTTCAACGTTTTCCATAGCCGGCATCATCGAAAAGTCAGTTTTTTGACCCAAAAATCCAATTTCATCAAATTTCCTCAAAAGTTCACACGAGGTGCCTAGAAGCCAGAATTGAATTCCTGCAGAGTTCAACTCATTACATTCAGTATCCAGTGAGAAAAGAACAATTTTAGATTTTTTACAAAATGCCCAAAAACTTCAACGTTTTCCATAGCCGGCATCATCGAAAAAGTCAGTTTTTGACCCAAAAATATAACTTCATCAAATTTGCTCAAAAGTTCACATGAGGTGCTTAGAGGCCAGAATTGAATTCACTGAAGAGTTCAACTCATTACATTCAGTATTCAGTGAGAAAAGAACAATTTTAGTTTTTTTACAAAATGCCCCAAAACTTCAACGTTTTCCATAGCCGGCATCATAAAAAAAGTCAGTTTTTGACCCAAAAATCCAACTTCATCAAATTTGCTCAAAAGTTCACATGAGCTACGTAGAGGCCAGAATTGAATTCCCTGAAGAGTTCAACTCATTACATTCAGTATCCAGTGAGAAAAGAACAATTTTAGATTTGTTAAAAATGCACCAAAACTTCCAACGTTTTCCATAGCCGGCATCATCGAAAAAGTCAGTTTTTGACCCAAAAATCCATATTCACCAATTTGCTCAGAAATCATACGAGGTGCCTAGAGGCCAGAATGGAATTCCCTGCAGAGTTCAACTCATTACATTCAGTATCCAGTGAGAAAAGAACAATTTTAGTTTTTTTACAAAATGCCCAAAAACTTCAACGTTTTCCATAGCCGGCATCATCGAAAAAGTCAGTTTTTGACCCAAAAATCGATTTTCATCAAATTTGCTCAAAAGTTCACATAAGCTACCTAGAGGCCAGAATTGAATTCCCTGAAGAGTTCAACTCATTACATTCAGTATCCAGTGAGAAAAGAACAATTTTAGATTTGTTACAAATGCCCAAAACTTCCAACGTTTTCCATAGCCGGCATCATCAAAAAAGTCAGTTTTTGACCCAAAAATCCATCTTAACCAAATTTGCTCAGAAGTTCACACGAGGTGCCTAGAGGCCAGAATTGAATACCCTGAAGAGTTCAACTCATTACATTCAGTATCCAGTGAGAAAAGAACAATTTTAGATTTGTTAAAAAATGCCCCAAAACTTCAACGTTTTCCATAGCCGGCATCATCGAAAAAGTCAGTTTTTGACCCAAATACCCAATTTCATCAAATTTCCTCAAAAGTTCACACGAGGTGCCTAGAGGCCAGAATTGAATTCCCTGAAGAGTTCAACTCATTACATTCAGTATCCAGTGAGAAAAGAACAATTTTAGATTTGTTAAAAAATGCCCCAAAACTTCAACGTTTTCCATAGCCGGCATCATCGAAAAAGTCAGTTTTTGACCCAAATATCCAATTTCATCAAATTTCCTCAAAAGTTCACACGAGGTGCCTAGAGGCCAGCATTGGATTCCCTGAATTGTTCAACTCATTACATTCAGTATCCAGTGAGAAAAGAACAATTTTAGTTTTTTTACAAAATGCCCCAAAACTTCAACGTTTTCCATAGCCGGCATCATCGAAAAAGTCAGTTTTTGACCCAAAAATCCATCTTCACCAAATTTGCTCAAAAGTTCACACGAGGTGCCTAGAGGCCAGAATTGAGTTCCCTGAAGAGTTCAACTCATTACATTCAGTATCCAGTGAGAAAAGAACAATTTTAGATTTGTTACAAAATGCACCAAAACTTCCAACGTTTTCCATAGCCGGCATCATCGAAAAAGTCAGTTTTTGACCCAAAAATCCATATTCACCAAATTTGCTCAGAAGTTCACACGAGGTGCCTAGAGGCCAGAATGGAATTCCCTGAAGAGTTCAACTCATTACATTCAGTATCCAGTGAGAAAAGAACAATTTTAGATTTTTTACAAAATGCCCAAAACTTCAACGTTTTCCATAGCCGGCATCATCGAAAAAGTCAGTTTTTGACCCAAAAATCCAATTTCATCAAATTTCCTCAAAAGTTCACACGAGGTGCCTAGAAGCCAGAATTGAATTCCCTGCAGAGTTCAACTCATTACATTCAGTATCCAGTGAGAAAAGAACAATTTTAGTTTTTTTACAAAATGCCCCAAAACTTCAACGTTTTCCATAGCCGGCATCATCGAAAAAGTCAGTTTTTGACCCAAAATCGATTTTCATCAAATTTGCTCAAAAGTTCACATAAGCTACCTAGAGGCCAGAATTGAATTCCCTGAAGAGTTCAACTCATTACATTCAGTATCCAGTGAGAAAAGAACAATTTTAGATTTGTTACAAAATGCACCAAACTTCCAACGTTTTCCATAGCCGGCATCATCAAAAAAGTCAGTTTTTGACCCCAAATCCATCTTAACCAAATTTGCTCAGAAGTTCACACGAGGTGCCTAGAGGCCAGAATTGAATTCCCTGAAGAGTTCAACTCATTACATTCAGTATCCAGTGAGAAAAGAACAATTTTAGATTTGTTAAAAAATGCCCCAAAACTTCAACGTTTTCCATAGCCGGCATCATCGAAAAAGTCAGTTTTTGACCCAAATATCCAATTTCATCAAATTTCCTCAAAATTCACACGAGGTGCCTAGAGGCCAGAATTGGATTCCCTGAATTGTTCAACTCATTACATTCAGTATCCAGTGAGAAAAGAACAATTTTAGTTTTTTTACAAATGCCCCAAAACTTCAACGTTTTCCATAGCCGGCATCATCGAAAAAGTCAGTTTTTGACCCAAAAATCCATCTTCACCAAATTT